ATTGAGGTGGGGGTATAAAATTGGGGCGGGCGGGGATGAGAATCTACAAATATTTTTATTATGGCCTAATAATTGCTTAGAAAATTATCTTACAATGTTGTTCTACCTTCTTACAGGAAAAGTAGAGGAGATTGATGCAGATAGAATGAAGAATCAATATAAAGTTCAGAAGATTGAAGGTACGTCTTTTGTATATATAAAAAAAAATGGTATGAGGCCACAATTTAAATATTGTTGGCTTGGTTTCAATTTCAGAAATGTTGTTAGTATCCGGGCGTCATAGTTTTCTGATTGTTAAGGAACAACTGCAGTCCGAATAGATTCCCAATTGTTATTTATATCCAAACCCTATTAGTTTTAAACCTTTAAAGGTACTTGGACACAGATTTGAAGTTAATAATTTCTCTATAATATTATGACATATATATCTAATAGCATTTCACACAAAATTTACTTAAAAATCTTATTTCATTTTTAGGTCACCTGAGTAAACTCGGGTGACCTATTGCTATCTGTTTTCGTCCGTCGTCGTGCGTCGTCCGTCGTCCATCGTGTGTTAACATTTGAACATTATCAGCCAAATTTGGCATAAAGCATCTATGGGTAAAGGGGAACAAAAATTGTGAATTTCATGATCCCTGCCCCCCTGGGGCCTGAGGGGTGGGGCCAAAACCACTAAAATTAATGCAATCTTTGAAAATCTTCTTCTTTACTCCTGGACATCAAGCAGTCAAACTGTTTGCATGATTGTAATCAGCAATGAGTCTTCTACCAAAATTGTGAAATTCATGACCCCAGGGTCAGGGTTCTAGTGCAAGGGCGGGGCTAAATAAGTATATAGTGAAAATGCATTATTTCTTTGAAAATCTTTTTCTCTGCTCCTGGGTATTAAATAAACCAACTAAGTACATAGTTATGATGAGCAAGAGTGCCTCTACCAAAATTGTGAATTTTATGGCCCCAGGGTCAGGGGTTCTTGTTTTACGGTGGGGCTCTAATTATTATATAGTGAAATGCATGAATTCTTTGAACATCTTATCCTTTGCTCCTGGCTAATATGCTAATGATCTAATTACATGTACATATCTAAGGCCAGGATTTATTTTATTTTCAGTTTTATAAACCCTCCGCTCAAGGTTTTGTATTTTTCAGAAAAAAATTAAACATTACTTTCCGATGTCAAATTTGAGTCGGGATCGAGATTTCAAATTTACGAACTCGCACTTCCGGTTGTAAGATGAAACGGCGGGTAAATAAAGCTGAGAAGATAGCTTGGTTACCGTTTAGTGTAAAATTCATCGATACCAGTGCCATTTAAAACGTTTCACCCGTTCAAACGACAAATAAAATGCTGACGACTTTATTGCACAATGACATGCTGGTGAGATAATTATGTTTTCGTTTCAAAAGTATCTGTCTGTAAATTATTTTCCTCCCCCAGGTTTAAAACTGCCGGTGGTAGCTATTGCATATTGCCAGCGACATTGTTTAGGTCTCCGTTATAGCTTACAGTCTAAGAAAAGGGTTGCTTATGCATCAGATTTAATGAATAAAACTATATATGGGAGAAGTTAAGTCCATTTGAGGAAGAAATAAACAATAACCTGAAGAAATAAAAAAAAATTCAACTATTAAATAGCAAGATTATACAAATATTTACAAGCATGTAGTATCATTTGTATCAGCCAGAAAAATTATTTTACACTTAATTGAAAAAATTTTCACCCTACTCCCCAATACTCCCTGTCTGTTTTATGATAGGAATTATAATTTTAGGCATCAAGTAAATTTTAGAACAATGTCTACACATTCACCTAACACATATTAAAAAAATGAAGATATATTGAAAGACTTTTAAAGAATTGATTTTTTAAAATATATTTTGACCAACATCACAAAATTTATATAACTCGCCTAAACTAAAGAATTGATTTTTATGCTCCGCCATGAATATGGCCGGGGCATATAGTGATTTTCATGTCCGTCTTCCGTCCTTCCGTCCTTCTGTCCTTCTGTCCTTCCGTCCTTCCGTCACACTTTGCGTTTAGCTCTGTTCAAATCTAAGTTTCAAAGAAACTATCATAGATATTTTCATCAAACTTCATATGCTGATAGATATTGATGAGAGCTATGGTTCTTCTAAGGATGAACACTACCAGACTTGCTTTGGATGCTGGATCTGGCCGACTTTTTCCAGATGAGTGACCAGGTTAAAGTTTTAGGAGCAGGTCCATTCCTAAGGAACTTTAAGCCATACTTGGACCAAACCTGCATGGATGATGCATCTAGGGATGGACACTACCAGACTTGCTTCGGATGCTGGATGTGACCTATATTTTCCAGATGAGTGACCAGGTTAAAGTTTTTAGAGCAGGTCCATCCCTAAGAAACTATAAGCCCTACTTGGACCAAACTTGCATGGATGATGCATTGAGGGATGGACACTACCAGATTTAAATCGGATGCTTGATCTGACCTATATTTTCATTCCCAAGTAACTATAAGCCCTACCTGAACCAAACTTGCATGGATGGTGCATCTAGGGATGAACACCACCAAACTTGCTTCGGATGCTGAATCTGACATATATTTTCATTCCTTAGTTACTATAAATCCAACGTGAACCAAACTTGCATGGATGATGCATCTAGGGATGGACACTACCAGATTTGCTTTGGATGCTGGATCTTACCTATATTTTCATTCCCAAGTATCTAAAAGCCCTACCTGAACCAAACTTACATTCAAACTTTCTTAAATTAGTGTTTAGCTCAGTTTTGAACATACCATTCAAGATGGTGCTATCAAACTTCACATGTTGATACAAACTTGCACGGATGATGCATCTAGGGATGAACACTACCAAACGTGCTTTGGATGCTGGATCTGACCTACATTTTCCAGATGAGTGACCAGAATAAAGTTTTTGGAGCAAGTCAATTCCTAAGGAACTATAACCCTACTTGGACCAAACTTGCATGGATGATGCATCTAGAGATTGACACTACCAGACTTGCTTCGGATGCTGGACCTGACCTACATTTTCATTCCCAAGTAACTATAAGCCCTACCTGAACCAAACTTGCATGGATGATGCATCTAGGGATGGACACTACCAGACTTAATTGTTTCGGATGCTGGATCTGACCTTCATTTTCATTCCCAAGGAACTATCAGCCCTACCTGAACCAAACTTGAATGGATGATGCATCTAGTGATGGACACTACCAGACTTGCTTCGGTTGCTGGATCTGACCTACATTTTCATTCCCAAGGAACTATAAGCTCTACCTAAACCAAACTTGCATGGATGATGCATCTAGGGATGGACACTACCAGACTTGCTTCGGATGCTGGATCTGACCTACATTTTTATTCCCAAGGAACTATAAGCTCTACCTGAACCAAACTTGCATGGATGATGCATCTAGGGATGGACACTACCAGACTTGCTTTGGATGCTGGACCTGACCTACATTTTCATTCCCAAGTAACTATAAGCCTACCTGAACCAAACTTGCATGTATAAAGCATCTAGGGATGAACACTACCAGACTTGCTTAGGATGCTGGATCTGACCTATATTTTCATTCCCTAATAACTATACTTGCATGGATGATGCATCTAGGGATGGACACTACCACACTTGCTTCGGATGCTGGATCTGACCTATATTTTCATTCCCAAGTAACTATAAGCCGTGCTTGAACCAAACTTGCATGGATGATGCATCTAGAGATTGACACTACCAGACTTGCTTCGGATGCTGGACCTGACCTATATGTTTATTCCCAAGTAAATATAAGCCCTGCCTGAACCAAACTTGCTTGGATGAAGCATCTAGGGATGGACACTACCAGACTTACTTTGGATGCTGGATCTGACCTACATTTTTATTCCCAAATAACTTTAAGCCCTACCTGAACCAAACTTGCTTGGATGATGCATCTAGGAATGGACACTACCAGACTTGCGTCGGATGCTGAATCTGACATACATTTTTATTCCCAAGTAACTTGAAGCCCTACCTAAACCAAACTTGCATGGATGATGCATCTAGGGATGGACACTACCAGACTTGCTTCGGATGCTGAATCTGACCTATATTTTTATTCCCAAGTAACTATAAGCCCTACCTGAACCAAACTTGCTTGGATGATGCATCTAGGGATGGACAATACCAGACTTGCTTTGGATGCTAGATCTGACTTACATTTTTATTCCCAAGTAACTATAAGCCCTACGTGAACCAAACTTGCATGGATGATGCATCTAGGGATAGTAACTATAACCCCTACCTGAACGAAACTGATCAAACTTTATTAACATATAAATTCTTATGTTGCTTTACTAATATATCATCGGCGGGGCATTCATGTCCTATGGACATATTTCTAGTTTATTAATTTAATTATCTATTGTTTATTTATATGAAAGCACCTGAAATTAGAAATATAGAATAATAGAATAATTTCAATGCAAGGAAAAGATCGGAGGCATTCAAAATAAATCGTTCATCTTGCGTTCACCGTTCACTTTGCGATCACTTTCGCAATCTGCGTTCACTCACCATTCACCATTCATACTTTGTTCACCAAGTTGCGTTCAGCGTTTGCACATCTTTCACTAACCGTTCCCTTGGAAAGCAATTGGGCCAGGAAAGGTGAAACTCATGTGGAATCATCCTCAGGTAGTGTAGATTCAAGTTTGTTCAAGTCATGACCCCCGGGGGTAGGGTGAGGTCAAAATGGGCGATCAAAGTTTTACATAGGAATATATAGGAAAAATCTGTAAAAATCTTCTTCTCAAGAACAACTGGGCCAGGAAAGATGAAACTCATGTGGAATCATCCTCAGGTAGTGTAGATTCAAGTTTGTTCAAATCATGACCCCTGGGGCTAGGGCGGGGCCAAAATAGACGATCAAAGTTTTACATAGGAATATATATGAAAAATCTTTAAAAATCTTCTTCTCCAGAACCACTGGGCCAGGAAAGATGAAACTCATGTGGAAGCATCCTCAGGTAATGTAGATTTAAGTTTGTACAAATCATGACCCCCGGGGCAAGGGTGGGGCCAAAATGGCCAACCCAAGTTTTACATAGGAATATGTAGGAAAAATCTTTAAAAATCTTCTTCTCCAGAACCACTGGGCCAGGAAAGATGAAACTCATGTGGAAT